CGTGTATGAGGCAATTGAAAGGACTTGATTTATTAGTTGCCTCAATCCAGGGCTTGACTTGAACAGCTGCAGCCCTGGCTGTACATTTTTCTCGGAGAATATGGACAGTGTCACTCGACAAGTATCAATTGACAGGTGTGCATGGGCTTGGGAGTCAGCGAGACCTGCACTACCGGTTATGTGAACATGAGCTAGGTAAACTCAACTTCCAATCTCAGCTTCTCTGTAAAAAGATGGGGGTGTTAATGTTCACGACTTAGGGTTTTTGTAAAAATCAAATGACATCATGCTTGTGAAATTGACTAGACCAGGAACTAGAAGAGCAGGCATATAATAAATGGTAGTTTTATTTAATTTTATGTCATTTCAAAGGAGGGGCAGATGTAAAATCTGTTGTCAAGAAATAAGAGGATGGAAACCATACATTTGTGGCCTGCAACTTTTTCTTTCCCTTAACTGTCTACCAGAGGAGCTATGTTTGCAGCTAAAAAAGAGATGGCAAAATCGTACTACAATATGAGCTTTTGCTGCCAACACCGCAACTTTCAGTAATCAAGCAATTATCTTATGCATAACACATGGCCGCTCTGTGGATTACTGCTAGAACTTGTCTCTAATATGAAAATCAAGAGCTTGATTTTTAAAATATATTTTCCTAATATAAAAGTCCATATCCACAGGGAAATGCTGATGCTCAGATGGAAATGCCGGGTTCTGCAGCCTATCAGAAAAGAAATGCTCATTTATTACCCCAAGGGATAGTGTTCAGAGTCAGTTAAGTCAAGTACATCAGGAATTCTACACACTAAAAAATGTATGAAAAGGCTTATATGAAGAAATCCCATTTCAGCCATCTAAAATCACCGGTGACTGCACCCCCAGCATTTTGTTTGTTTTTAAGATTAAAAAAAAAATAGGACTGCCACTCCTTTGCTCAACACTTCCCTTTGAGTAATAACACAGCGAATCTAGTACATCCAAAGGAGCCGGGCGAGCTCACGGAAGAAATATGGAAGCCGATAGCTGCCATGCACAACACAGGCCAGGAACAAAAATGAGCAATACTCAGGCCCAGAAGGCAACAAGGATGGGGAACCAAGAAGCGCCGTTGCCTGAAGCGACCAGGCAATGACCCACTTCTCAAGTAGCAGGGATGCATTTCCTAACTAAAGGAAGCAGAGGCTGGGAGCTCCGGTGACAGCAAAAGGTCTGGTCACTTCCAGAACCGATGTGAACTCTCCTTTGCACTTTGTAAACTCGCTGCTGCAGCAGAGTGGGAACCGTGGTGAGTTCCTAGAACCAACTGGTGTTGCTGAGTTCAGCATTAGTCTCTGAAAAAGCTCAGCTCATTTGGCACCAGGAAAAGCTGAGTACGCAAAAAAAAAAAAAAGCCGAGTAAGCAAGAAGCAAGCATGAACTTTCCCATGAAGTTTTAACCACAACTTAATGAGTGGCCCTGCCCTATTCCATCCAAATCTCAGGCAGATCCCTACGTCTTGACCCTACCTCAAAACACTGAAGCCAGCCAGATGTTCCACCTTCAAATTTAATAGTTACATGCAATGGCAATGAGGTTCTTGTTTTATTCTCAAGTTCTTCGATAACAGATCTCCATCAGGCCCATGATACTTTCATGAAAATGATCTATACTCACATAAACAGTACTATTTCTGTTCATATTAAAAACTAAGAGGGCTTAAATTACCCTGGACTCAAATTATCCTAGGCCCCAAATACATATGAACAAGGTCGCCAGAAGCGTTTTGTAGGGCCCAAGCGCCTTTGAGAGAATGAACCCTTGTTGACTCTTTATAAACGCCACACTCACTGCCAGGAGCCACTGCTGGGTCATAGCGACCCCTGTGGGTTTCTGAGACTGTAACTGTCTACAGGAGGAGAAAGCCCAGTCTTTCTCACCCGGAGCTGCTGGTGGTTTTGAGCTGCTGACCATGCATGCATATGGCAGCCTGACTCATAACCACACCACTATCAGAGTTCCTTAAGATTCTATTATAGGAAGAGTTCATATTTTAACCAGCATTTCATACTCCTATTCTATGCTTAATAAGCGAGAAACATTTAGTTCAAATCCATAGTTATTTAAAAAATAAAAAGCCACCTTCTCTTAGTTACGGATTGTGTGTTCCTGTTTGTTGAGTCACTCCGGGTACAGCTTGCTTGTCTACTAAAATCTAGTTGCAGCACTCGGAAGCTCTTGAACAGGATTCTAGGGGAACGGATCCTTGCTCAGGGAACTTGCAGAAAGGAAAACTGAGCAGTCACCGATAGAACAAACTTAGAGAAGCAGTTACCATACATACTCATGGATAAGGCGAATTTTTCAGCCCATTTTTTTTAATTTAAAGGAGAAACTTATTGGGTCGTGAAAGGTTAACATAATAGGCTTTTCAGGGGTTGGGACCAGAGGCAAAAATGCAGTTGGCTATCGCCCAAATGGACATGCTGCATGCAGTGCAGGACTACGTTGGAATAAGCTGTCAGAGAAAGCCCAGGGTCTCACCTCGGGGTACAAACCAATGATCAGGGCATGGGCAGAGTGACTGTGAGGGCCATCATCTGAGAGCTGAGCCCAGAGACGCAGTGGGGTACAGGGCAAGGATGCAGTCCAGGCTGTGCTGTCCAGGTGTCGGCGTGCAGGCTGCTCAGCCAGGGAGCCACAGCAGCATCAGGACCAGGCTGAACAGGAGGGGCCCGTGGCCCAGGCTCAGCCCGACTCATGGCCTCAGCATAGAACCTCACCACCTCCTCCATGGGGTTGCCCTGAGCCGGGTCAAGCCACATCTGGATACAGCGGCCACTGCCTGGGCTGTAGTTGATGACCTTGTAGGCGTGATCCCAAACGCGCTCACACAGGGCGGCAGGTGTGGGAAAGTAGAACTCAGATGTGTGGCAGGCGGCCTTGACCGGGCACTCATTAATGCCTGAGGTCCAGTTCCAGCCTTTCTGCCAGTTGGTCTTGCAGGTGTCAGAGGTGCGACAGTCCTCTCTGCACAAGGGCGCTTCCAGGAAAAGCTCTTTGCGCCATCTCTGGTCCACCTGCTGGATGCAGGGCCCCAGGCTGGGGGAGCACTGGAAGAGACAGCTGTCTTGGTTGAAGCGGGCTTGCACTTGGGCTCCATCGTGCTGAAGCGGCTCCAGTTGGATCTGTGGAGGACAGAGGCCTCCTTGTGCAGCTCCTGGCTGGTGTTCGCCAAGCAGCAGGCGTTCTTCCAGGGAGTGCAGGTCATGCCACTTGTCCCCAGGGCCTGGCTCTTCCTTGTCAGCACATTTTTTATGCAGTTTTTGGGGTAAACTTAGGTGCCTCGGCTGATATTCGGGTCGGCTTAAACTTGAGTATATAGGTATTCATTTCCTGAGCTAGCTCACTTTTTCCTTCAAACATTTCCTTCTTTTCCCCAATAAATGTGGGGGAGAGGTGCACGGGGGTGTTTATGTTTAATAGCATTTAAGTCTTCTTGCAAAACATACTTCTGGAAGCACGATCTAGAATTTAGACAAATTCCAAGACACACCATTGCCAACTGTGGTAGTTACATAATTTCATGCCAACTTGAAGATATATGAAAGTATGGGCTGGCACTTAAGTTGCCAGTCAGGTCAAAACCTGAGGGAGCCTCCTTGTTGGTATGACCCTCTTCCTAGCAAGATCCTGCTTCTCTCTCCCTTCACCTTCCTGCGGCTGACCCTGATTGCTACCAGCGTCCTGGAGATGTTACAGCCGCCATTGGATCCACACAACTTTGCACCTACCAATCTGTAATATTCCTGCATTCTGTATCATTGCATGGGGCCACACGAGTCTGCAGAGGGACTTAGGGCTCGTATCGAACTTAGGGGCTTGAGTTAGACTGAGCTGGAATGTATTCTTGATAAATAAAAACATTTATTGATTTAAAGCTCTATCTTATATATATAGATGAGTGTCTTTGGATTTGTTTCTGTAATCAACCCATCTGCACACATCAATATTATCAGTAAAGAGATACAAAATTAAAACCTCAACTTAAACATCATGTTGGTATTCGGGAGGGCTTCCTGGAACGCCGGTTGATGTTTTAGCCAAAGGGTCCGGAGCATCATGGGCTAGACTCATGCTTTGAGAATGCAAATTCTATCATCAAGAATGAAAATTGAATATGCAAAAACACTCAAGGCTCCTGATTACTTCATGTGGAAACTCTGGCCTCTTCATGGCAAGGAAGCCAATCTCTTAACTTTCCATGCTTTGATGGGTTAGCCATGTCTTCGTACTAAATATAACCTCGAAGGTAAGTCTGAAAGTCTTATAATAATTATTAAAGTTATATATTTTCTTAGAAATGTATTTTCCCAATGACTACTATTTTGACTGTTATCAAAGCAGAAACTGGAACAAAATTTGGCTATTTTGAGTCTTGTGTGACAGATTTAAATAACAAAAAAATCAATCTTTACCTGAATTTAAACATGATAGCTTTATTTATTGACCAGCAATGACAAATAACACAAAAACAGACAAACAGAATAAAATCTCTTAAAATGTTTATTTTCGTCAGAATAGCTGACGATTTTCTTTTAAGTATTTTGGTTTATTATTATTCCAAGCATTCCGCAGCCCCACCCCACCCCTGGAAAAACCCATTCAAAGTATCTCAGTTCTTGAGGTAAAGAACTTAAAATAAAACAAAACAAAAAGACATCCTGACTTCTTTTTAAAGAAAAAAAAATTCAGAAAATTCCTTTAGCATGATAAATAGAAATAATCTCTTCTCATCTACTCTGGTGAACATAAATGTACTTTATACAGCAACGTATCCAGTCCCCAGTTGAGAAATCAAAGGTGAGAACTGCACACATGTTCTATTCCAACACAGTGCAATACTGCCATGTGCATATATGTTTATTTTTTTAAAAAGTTACCAACACTCTTCTGGCAAAGACAAGACTTTTGGAATGGCAAAAGCAACATAAGTTTTAGATCTGAAAGCTATGGGAGGGAATTAATCGGAGTCTTCGTCATCAAGATAGTCCTCAGCATTGCTTAATGTCCGAACTGCATCTAAAAGGGGCAGAGAGAAGAGGACAAAGAGGGAAATTATAAAATCTGTTTGCATATTTCCCCACCATCACCACCACTTTTAAAACATGACAATTCAAACACATTGAATCTTCCCTCTGACCCAGGGATTGTACTCTCCCTAGGATCTTCTCCTACTTTTGCCTGCCCAGTGTCTGGTGACATCGTACCTAACATCCATTTGCCTACATGTTTCTCAGATGCACAGAAAAGCAAAGACCACGGGGCTAGGGCACCATGACCCTATCTCCATAGCGTCCATACTGGAAGTAACGGCTGCACCAAAATAGCCAGTGTGGCACTGCTTGCTTCACGCTTGCTGTCAACACTGTGCTTGCAACCTCCTCTCTGCCTGGGACAAGGACACTCATGGCATCCTCGGTCCATGGACTCTGCCTTACCCGAAGGCAAGGTCACTGGGCAGAAAGGTAACTGATAAGGGGAAAAGGAAAAGAAAGAGAGTGAAGACAAAGGCGCTTCCGCTTTATTTTAGAAAACACTGTTAAGTAAAATGAAAGTAAGAGCCGGCAATGAAAAGGAGAAAAAAGTAAAATGGAAATAACCAAACCCTACTAAATGTTAAAATCAACTTTAAACAAGACTCAAAAGGGAGGCAACTTCTCCTTAACTGCTTACTAATTCAATTGTCTGGCCAAATTCCCATAGGAAAAAGTTGTCCCCGGTAGAATTATGAGAGGGAGAGTGGGAATGGAAACTCAGGCGCATTTTTTAAGCTACAAACGAACTCAATGTCATCAGGTTAATTCTGACTCATAGTGACCTTGTTGGACAGAATAAAATGACTCCATAGGGTTCCCAAAACTATACATCTTAATGGAAACACATACCCTCCTCGTCTCTCTCTGGTGGAGAGATTGGTGGGTTTGAGTGGGAGACCTTTTAGTTCATAGCACAACTAACTCACTGTGCCACCAGGTGGGCATGTGGTTCGAGCTCCAAAAATGTATGTGATCGTCCCTAGATCACGGTCTGCAAGGATTCTATCTCTGTGGTTCATTGGGGACCTGATACCAGTTCTGGGTATAAACTAAGAAAGTGTTAAAACAAAACAAAAAACATGAAATATAAAATATGAATATAGAGCCTCTTGCTATACCATAAAGCAAAACTTCTACCAAAGACTACGAGGATAACATTAAATGTTCAGGACCTAATCTAAAGAAGCTGCTGCGGGCCCCAAACAGGTATCGGTAGACACTAAGCAGAATGAATCAGAACACACCAGATGTTTCGATGTGCACCAAAGAAGCACTCCACTGGAGAGTGATGGGGAGCCAGCTCATTATTTGGAAAACATTTTAAATAAGGGGAAATATGTATCATGCTCGTGCTCCATAAAACATTCTCTGCATAACCAAACAAATGTGGAACATGTTTTCTCAGCTAAAACTGAGAAAGAAGTGTTAGAATTAGAATATCCCCATTTTGCAATGATTCTTGGGATCAGTGATCCAGACGATGGCCATGAATGTATCCTCACATCATAAGAAGAGTGGCAACCAAATATTAAGTGCCACAGATGGAAGAACACAATTTTCTATATCATGCATTCTTCCCTCGACCCTAACGTCGCTAACAGACAAGATAAGAAACGTGAATCTGGTCAGGCCTCCTTATCGAACACCGAATGTTAGAAGACCCAGAAGGCAGAGGAATATGATGAGCAACATCTGGGAAACGTAGTTCACTGACTTTGGGAAATGATAGTTCGAATGACCCAGTTTCTTTCATAGTAAATGACAAAGTGTAAAGGGTTAGAGTAGCGGGAATCGTTGAGTTATAAAGAAAAGAAAACATAGTGACATTGTGGACTAGTCACAAACTGACCTGTCTGAACCCCGATTGAAACGACAAAGAAGCTCTCACGTGCAATGGCCAAGTGCTGCGCAATCCGAACGCACCTGTGACTGAGGGAGAACTAACTTGGAATCTGCTCCCGTGAAGCTCCCGTCTAGGAAACCCACTGGGACAGCTCTACTCTGTCAGATCGGGTCAACACGAGTTAAAACGAATTCAGCATACAACTCAGACAACCAACGAGTGTGTAATAAAAGAGCAAACAGATATGAGAAAACGGAGAAATGTGGACAATGAATAACCCTATCTGGTGTGGGGAATAATTCACGTTAAATTTCAGGTATGTTGATGATATTATAGTTCTCTTTCTCCTCTAGTCTAAGAGTTTGTAATGAATAGAAGTTTTACAAAATGATCGTTTGTAAAAAGGCAAATAAATGTGAAATTGAAATGATTTGGCTTTACACCAAAGAAAGGAAGAAAGAAGCGTACGTGGTGGAAGCTGGAACAGAGGCCAGCTCCACGACTGGCGGTGACTTGGTGGGAAAAAGCAGCTTTTCAAGCGAAAATTGGAAATAAAAATAACAAAGCATTTTGTCTTTCTACTGCCCCATCACAACCCTGTGGATAGGCTTATCTGAAATATCCTTTTTTCTTTGACTGGTTACTTCTGCTTTTTATTTTAATCTTTTTGCTCTTGTTAAAAGGGAAACACAGCTGGCCGTAGTGCAATTTCTGAAAGAAAATCAAGAAATCAGAAGTGAGCTGAGCAGATAAATGTCTTCTCATTCCTTCAGCCACTGGACTACTCGGAGGCAGTTTCTCTGGAAACTTCCCACATGGTCAGGTGTGTCAAGTGGCCCACTGTATGTCTCAGCTCATCTGGTGGGCATGGCTAGCAGGGTAACTACACTCCTGATGCGGACTCATAATGGCCCTATAGGACAGAGTAGACTTGCCCATAGGGCTTTTCAAGACGATAACTCTTCACAGGAGTAGAGAGCCTGATCAAAGAACAAAAAATCATATCATTGTGAGTGAAGGGGAGTACGGAGTGGGGACCCAGAGCCTATGTGGCGGCAACTGGACATCCCCTTACAGAAGGGTCGCAGGGAGGAGACGAGCTAGTCGGGGTGCACTATAGCACTGATGAAACATACAACTTTCCTCTTGATCTTTAATGCTTCCTTCCCCTAACTCCCTGCTCCCCCCCACTATCGTGATCCCAATTCTACCTTACAAATCAGGCTAGACCAGAGGATGTACACTGGTACAGATAGGAACTGGAAACACAGGGAATCCAGGACGGATGATCCCTTCAGGACCAGGGCTGAGAGTGGCGATACTGGGAGGGTGGAGTGAGGATGGGGTAGGAAGGGGGAACTGATTACAGGGATCTATACATAACCTCCTCCCTGGGGGACGGAAAACATAAAAGTGGGTGAAGGGAGACTTGAGACAGTGTAAGATATGACAAAATAATAATAATTTATAAATTATCAAGGGTTCATGACGGAAGTGGGGTGGGGAGGGAGAGGAAAATTGAGGAGCTGATACCAAGAGCTCAAGTAGAAAGCAAATGCTATAAGAATGACAGCAACAAATTTACAAATGTGCTTGACACAGTGGATGTATGTACTGTATAGGTTGTGGTAAGAGTTGTATGCGCCCCCAATAGCATGATTAAAAAATAGAAGTCTGTCTTTCTCCGTGGAAGCGGCTGGTGGTTTTAAACTGCTGACCTTGCAGTTAGCAGCCCAATGTGTAACCACTATGCCCCCAGGGCCGTACAACCATCTGATTTAATGAATTGGTTTTCTAGTCAGTAGGCAGGTGGTGTGAACAGAGGAAAGATATTTGGTTCTACAAAGACTGTAGAAAGGTGAGGAGAAAGGTTTGCTGACTGCCTCCTACAGCTCCTCTGTTCATGTGTGGACTTCTGGGCGCTCTCTGGGGTTGGCAGAACTTTGGCATTTCCCTTGCAATCACGACCAAGCCCACAGTTCATAGGCATGACATGGAAACGCTTCACCTCATACAACACCATACAGCTACAGGAAATCAGAGGCCCAGAGAGGAAGTTGGGCCACAATCCTACTTCCTGGCCTCACCAAGGCAGCGAAGCAGAGGAGGCAGAAGTCTTGTAAGTCTCTCTCCCACACGACTACAAATATGGAGTCTAAGGCCGGTGAGGAGCGGCAGCTTAACTGAAAGATAGTCCCTCCGTGGAACCTATGTGAGTAACTCCTTCTAAGAAAGGTGGGTTCTATCTTTTAACGTTCATGGCCAAAATGATGAAGGGATCCCCTGTTGATTACTGGTAACAGAAGATGAAGGGGGGAAAAGTTACGGGAACGGGGGTGGGGGGCAGTTACTGTAGACAATTTTGGGAATCTTCACCAGAAAGAAAGATCATTCACTGTTTTTAAGTAACTAAAGCAGGTAACCAAGGCACTGCTTTTATTGTGTTACTTCTTCTAGGAATGGAGTGTGAGCAGCATTAACATCACTTATTCGGACACAACATTGAGAAGACATACCCGAGGGAGAATTATGTTTTCTAGGGGTTCAAAAATAGATGGGGATTCAATTAAAATGATAATATCAGAGAAGTAATCAGGATCGCATTAGAATGATTTTGAGAACTCTGAAAGTATAGTACCCTCCAGTTAAAATGGAAGTAAATGTACTTAGCCTGAGCGGACGTTTGTTTTATAAAAAGTTTGGAATGAAGGGTAGTGATGCACAAGACCTGCCCAAATTCATCCTTCATTGTGCTTACATACTTTGCTTCTAGAAAAGGGTTGTTAGAAAAAGGATCCATTGTTGATGTATACTTCAAAGTCCTATTAGTAATAGAGTAACAACAACAACAAAGAACAACCTGCCGTCCGGTTTATTATGACTCCTGGTGACCCTATAGGACAGGGCAGGCCTGCCCCTGTAGGCTTCCAAGACTGTGATTCTTTATGGTGCTAGAAAGTGACGGACACGAAGGACCATTTAATGAAAGGGGGAAAGGGGACTGAATGTCCCCTGCCACCACACCTTCTTCCACTGTTCTTTGTTCTGCCCTCGTTGGCTGGTCTTGGGCAAGGAAGCAAGTCATGAATGGGAAGGGGGTAATGGACAGGTATGTGGACAGAACAAGAAAGCAAAGTTCAAGGCACCCTCTCCTGAATTTCCTTCAGGGATCACCAAATGGGATGAATGAATCCATTAGGGTCATATTCAATAGGCGATATCTTGAAGAATTTCTAGCTTAGACCTGAAGATCAAATCAACAGCCAGCCTCTGAACTGTAATCATGAATGGCCTAAGTGTTTAACAGTTTTTCTTTCAAAACAATTGTATAAATTTTCCACTTTTTCACATTTATTCTTCTGTTATCAGTAGGTATTTTTGTCATTTAGAATGTACACCTAAATGGGATAATTTATGGGGAAAATTTATGGGAAATAACTTATGGGAAAAGTATGAGCTAGTGATAATGGTTACACAGTATGATGAATGTAATCAATTCAGTGAAATTATGCATGCAAACACTGAGCTGGCAAATGTTCTTGTGTATTTTTGCCACACATGCACACACACAAAAAAGCATCTAAACTTTTTTTTTAAAATCATGGTACTATGAATAAATTCCAGAATGTTAGTAAAGTTTAGAATCATTTTGATGAGTTTATTAATACCCTCATTTCAGTAACAATAAAATTCAGTCATAGTGTTGTTGAATGCTTCGTTTAAAAATATGGAACCCCCTCTAATAGGAATCTGAAACAAACGATTAGAGACCACGGTTCTCTCACAAGGGCTGTATTGGTCTCGAGGTAATTAGAGCTTGATTGTGAGGAACAAACAAATACACACATATTCGCTTAGATCCATGTCCCCAAGCTACTTCTCTTTTGGAGGTTCGGGTTTGGACCAGGGACATAAAAATCAAACTTTAGAACCGCCTGACCAAGAAATTCCCCCAAACTACCTCAATAAATGTTCATGGAGGCATCAAAAGAAAGGAGAACTCCGGTGAGTCCAAATACCTGTTCCTTGTTTCTTCTTAAGGAGGGAGGCACAGGCAGCGTTCGTCGCCATATCCAGGGCCAGCTTCTTCTCGTTGTTCCTTAAGTCTGTCCTGGCACCTTCACCAAAACAAGACCAGGAGAGTCGTTATCTGTGCAGACCCACCGTCAGTCGACAATCTTTCCACCAAAAAGAATGACTTTTGGAAAAATGATGGCCCAGAAATAAAATTTCTCAAAATAGTGAAAGAGCTGTCTATGATATGGTGTATCTGTCATTTCTAATCAGGTAGCTGATTGCCATAAGTGCGATGATTATGCTCAACTGAAGCATGTCATTTCCCTGAAGAGGCCCTATCCGATCTGCCTGTGGACTCTTCAGTGAGAAGTTCACCAATCCCCTTGGTAAATCCCAAATGAATTACACCCCAGTGGTGACATGTGCCTCAGCACGAGTGTTCCCACAATAAATGCCATATGACCTTTCCTTCTGCTCAGCAGGACCTTGAGAAAAGACCATAGGAACTGAGTTGGAAGGACTTTGTATCTATAAGCAAACTCTAGTGCCAATTAGCAGAATCCCAACAAAATAATATTCAAAGGCAAACAAAACTGCAAGGAATGTTCTTCAACAGCATTTTTGCTCATTTACAGTTCTTTATTATTATTATTATTAATCATTTTATTGGGGAGCTCTTACAGATCTAACAATCCATAGTTCAATCATATTAATCACACTTGTACATGTGTTGCCATCATCATTTCCAAAACATTTTCTTTCTACTTGAGCACTTGGTATCAGCTCCTCTTTTTACCCTCCCTCCCCTCCCCTTGTCAATCCTTGATCAATTATATATTATTATTGTTATTTCATATATTGCACTGTCCGTTGTCTCCCCTCACCCACATTTCTATTATTCATCTCTCTGGGGGGGTGGATGTTATAAATCCCAATTTGTGATTAATTCCTACCCACCCCCGCCGCATGTTCACTTACTTCCTAAAGGATCTCAAAAAGTTCACTTCCATGGAGTAAACCCTAACTCATAGCGACATTATAGGACAGTGTAGAACTGCCCTGTAGGTTTCTGACACTATAACCCAGCGGTTCTCAACCTGTGGGTCGTGACCCCTTTGGTGGGGGGGGTTGAACAACCCTTTCACAGAGGTCGACCCAATTCATAACAGTAGCAAAATTACAGTGATAAAGTAGCAACAAAAATATTCTTATGGCTGGGGGCCGGGTCCCCACACCATGAGGAACTGTATTAGGAAGGTTGAGAACCGCTGCTCTAACTCTTTAAAGGAGTAGAAAGCCTCATCTTTCTCCTGAGGAGCAGCTGCTGGCCTCAAACCGCTAACCTTGTGGTTAGCACCCCAATGTGTAACCCCTTATGTTCCTTCCTAACACAGTCTCCTAAAATTATGCTGAATGTAAGAATTCTAGAGTTTTAATTCTGCTAGTTATTCTCAGATTGCTTTCAAATAAGGCTTCATCAATTAACACTTTCTAACAGTACATAAAAACTAAAACAAAAAAACCCAGAAACAACAAAAAAAATCTCAAACCCACTGCTATTGAACAGAGTAGAATGGTCTCTTTTAGGTATCTGAAGCGGTAAATGTTTATAGGAGGAGAAAGCCTTGTTTTTCCCACAGAACAGCTGATAAATTCAAGTTGCTGATTTTTTTGGTTAGCAGGCCAACATATAACTTACTCTCCCATCAGGGCTATTTGTCACAGCCTAAAGAGTGGTATTTTCCTTCTAACCACACCCTACTTAATAAACAAAAAGTAAAATGCTGCAAACTTAAAGCGCAAACATATCGAATGAAGGGTAAAATGGGGTATAAAACAGCATAGCACCGTAGCATGGGAAATGCACTCTGGTACCTAGTCTGTGATTAGGACATTACACATACTGTTGTAACCAGTACACACAAAATATGACAATCTTCTATGACAGTTATATTTCTCCTGGGCAGGTGCCAATCTATCCCCAGCTGTTATACATAAAACTTCCTGCTCTCGATTGTGTTACAGGTCATAGATGTCTGTGGGTTCAACCATCTGTGACTGCGCGTATCTTACATTAAATAATACTTTTAGAGCATATGTACACGATTTCTGACAGGGCAGGTTCAGACACAGTGATGCTAAAGAAGAAAAATCACCATTTCCTCCATCCCTCTAACCAGCATTACCCAGCAATACCTACATTTTCAAACAATGCATTCTAATGACATATTCATTTAGCTTCATGTATACAACATGTTATCACTTCAACATGTAATGGAAATGTATTGACATTTTAGGTTTTTACTACTAAATTTTTGCACACCTCGACTCAGGTGAGCTTACGTCCTAGTAGATGCCACATCAGTACAATTCTAGGCATGCTCTTTTGTAAGGAGGGGGCACAAAGAGTATTTCCTATGTCCCATGATATTGCTCAGAGGATCCCTGCCATCCAGCCTTATGGTGTGTCTTGGCACCCAAATTTTCGTTCTTAATAGACTTCTGGACTACCGTGTGATAAAAGGTCAGATAATCTCTACAATACAAAGTACGGGCTAATTAATACTTGTAGGGAAAAATGGATGGATGGATGGATGGATGGATGGATGGATGGATGGATGGATGGATGG